AATCAGCAAGGCATCGTGAAAGAAATTAAGCAGAAAACCTTCTTTGGGTGTGTGCTTGTGTGGCTGTATGCTCACGTGCACAGCTGTGTGGAGGCTGGCGGTCACACTGGGGTGTTGTCCCTCAGAAGCTGCCCACCTTGCCTTTTTTTTTTTTTTTTTTTTTTTTTTTGAGACGGGTTCTCCCTGTAGCCCCAGCTGGCCTGGAAATTGCTATGTAGATCAGACTGGTATTAATCTCACAGAGATCTCCCTGCCTCTGCCTCCTGAGTGTTGGAATTAAACAGGCATGCACCACCATACCTTGCCTTTTGAGACAAGGTTTTGTACTGGGAACTGGGGCTCGCCAGTTAGGCTAGGCTGGGTGGCGGCCCTCCTGTCTCTACTCCCCAGCGCTGAGATTGCAGTCCCACTGTCATGCCTGCTTTTTTTTTTGTCTTTTTGTCTTTTTGAGATAGGGTTTCCCTGTAGCCCCAGCTGACCTGGAACTCACTGTGTAGACCAGGCTGGCCTTGAACTCAGAGATCCACCTGCCTCTGCCTCCAGAGTGCTGGGACTACGGGCGTGCGCCACCACCCCCAGCTCATTCCTGGCTTTTTACATGGGTGCTGGGGATGGAACTCAGGTCCTCATGTTTGAAAGGCAAGCACATCCTGGCTGAGCTATTGCCCCAGTCTCTCAAAATTCAACTTTTTTTTTTTTTTTCAAATACTCTCCATACAGTAGAATTTTTGCTTTATTGAATGATCAACATGCCAACTGGATTTGCTGCTATTTCTTTGCACCTAATTTTTGGAGTTATCTTTAAAGTTGCCCATTTTAACTTATGTTTCAACTATTTTTTTTTTCAGAAATAATTTAGTATGATTGTGTTTTTAAAAGTAAGGCATCGATTTAGGTATGTCTAAGATGCTATCCTATTTTGGGAGAATAATTATATAGAAGAGCCATCCCATGGGGCTAGGGACGGAGCTCAGTTGGTAGAGTGCTTAATTAGCATTCTGAAAACCCTGGGTTTAATACCTAGTACTACATGAACTGGGTATAGCGGTGTAGTGGTACATGACTATAATTCCAGCACTAAGGAGGCAGAAATTCAAAATCATCCTCAGTTACACAGTGAGTCTGAGGCCACTCTGGGCTACAAAAAAAAGCCTGTCTAAAAAAAGAAAAGGTTGTGAGGTGAGGTAAAAGTGCTTACAACACAAGCCTAATTACCCAAGTTCAGATCCCTGGAACCCATGTAAGAGCAGGACACAATGGCCCATATCTATAAGCCCAGCATTCCTAAGGCTGAGGCAGAATCCCTTAGAAGCTCATGAGGCAACTAGCCTATAGTGTGCAGACCAATGACACAAGAAAGACCCTGCCTTAAACAAGGTGCAAGGCAAGGACTGACATGAGATTGTTCTTTGTCTTCCACACACATTATAGTGCTGCACATGCACACATATAAACACACACATACACATTAAAAAGGGGGGTGGGCAGGGTCAACCAAAACAATGGAAGTATGAAAAAACCATATGGAAACCTATTATCTTATAACCAAACTTTAAAAATAGGTGGGAGATACCCTGTAAAGCTGGAGAAAGCTCCTCCTTGCAATGGATTATAAACAAAAATCTCATTGCCAAGAGTGGGATACTTCTTCTGAGTTGTTGGTCAGGGAGGTCCTAGGGGCTACAGGTTCTTGTCATTGCCCTTGGATGCCCATCAAAACTAGATGATAAATTGCTATTGCTGAAGACACCAGACCTTGGTTGCATGTTATAAGCTAGCACTGAGCTGGAAGCCTCCTTCCTGGTGGCTAGATTTTATAATCCAGAATGTGCTATACAGGCTGCTAGGGGGGAAAAGGCATCAATGGTCTACCCGGCTGTGAACCCTATGAACTATGACACACAACTACCATGCAAGATGTGCCCACTTGTGCAATAGTGGCATGACTGTTATGGGAGTTACCATTCACCCACTGTTTGGATTTGAGGCCTACTCCACAGGAAGGGATCCTGGTACTATAAACCTCCTAAAAGCCATGGTGGGAGAGGACATTGGACCTAGTGGGGGACTTAATTCTGTTTAGTTAAATTGGCACAGTGTGAAACAACACCTTTTTTTTGGTCTTTTTGAGACAGTCTCCCTGTAGCCCCAGCCAGCCCGGGACTCATTATATAGACCTGGCTGGCTTTGAACTCAGAGATCTGCCTGCCTCTGCCTCTCTGTATGGAACAACATTCTAAAGATATATTTATATCCATGGACAACTACCACCCTCAGCCTTAACTAGGGAAGCCTCTCTTTCCAATGAACTAAGATGTCGCAGAGTCTTATGGCTACAAAATATGCTGAGTGACAGTTGAGTGCTCAGTTTAAATATTTTATTATTTTTATTTTATGTGTATGCGTGTAGTGCCTGCATGTAGTTAAGTGCACCCATATTGTACAATGCCCACACAGAACAGAGGAGATTGTCGGATTCCCTGGAACTGGAGTTACGGACAGTTGGTTAGCTGCCATGTGGGTGCTGGGATACGAACCTGGGTCTTCTGCAAGAACAGTGTTCTTAACTGCTGAGCCATCTCTCCAGCCCCAAGTGCTCAGTTTAAACAAGACATTTACAGCATCCCCTCTGAGCTGGATAGCTTTAGTTGTCAACTTGATACACATGGGTAGAGGAAGCCTCAACTGGTGAATTCTCTCCATTGGACTGGCCCATGGGGCATTTTCTTGATTATTGAGTGACATGGCCCAGTCCACTGTGGACGGTGCCACCCTGGGCAGCTGGGCCTATTTTGTATAAGAAAGCAGGTTGGAGAGCAGGGAATGCCTTTAATCCCAGCACTCAGGAGGCAGAGACAGGCAGATCTCTGTGAGTCCAAGGCCAGCCTGATCTACATAGTGACTTCCAGGCCAGCTGGGGCTACTGGGAGACCCTGTCTCAAGAAGACCAAAAAATAGAAAGCAGGTTGAGTAGGGGCCAGGTGAGCAAGCCAGTAAGCAGCATTCCTCCATGGCCTGTGCTTCAGCTCCTGCCTCCAGGTTCCTGTCCCAAGTTCCTGCCTTGGGCTCAATCTGTGATGAACTGTGACCTGGGAGATGTAAGCCAAATAAATCCTTTCTCTTCCCCAAGTTGGTATTGGTCAGTGTTTTGTCACAGCAACGAAAGCATACTACCACAGCCTCCAGGCTCGGAAGCACACTGTGGAAAAGGGGAAAGAAGCACTGGAAGGGCTGGAAACAGGGAGAAGGGCTACAACATGCCATCTTCTGAACAGTAGACAGCAACTGCAATCATGAGCTCTCACCAACTACTGATGACTGCACGAGGCCTGCACAAGAAAGGGCCCATCAACACCAGGAAAGGATGGCGGAGTGACTCGGGGACCTTCACTCTCAGTGCTGAACTATTTTCTTGTTTTGTTCTCCTAGCAGTTATGGGCACTACGTGTTTAAGGAGAAAACATTTATTGAAATTATACTACTTGGTGACTTATAAAAAAAATTAACCACATGGTTTATTATTATACCACTTAATTCTGGATGAGAAAAAGAAGACTGTCATGACCCTTGGTAAGGTTAATTGGTTATAGTTACATAGTAATGAGTCTTGCAAAGCACCTCTTGTAATAGTTCAGGCAAGAGGTGACACAGGTGTGCAGTGGGATGCTAGCAGTAACAAACAATGAGAATTTATTATTTGTCCTAAAACAGCTTTTATGGAAATGAATCTAAACTAGTTCCAGAAGGAGATCATTTGAAAGGAGACTAGGACATGAGGAGAAAGGGCTGTCATTTGGACACATCGAGGTTGTGATGTTGGAAAGATATCTACTTGGACAAAGGCAGCAAGTAGTTGGAATATTAATCTAGAAGTCATGCTATGGATTCAAAGAAGAAAATGTGCTTTTTCACTCTGGAATTATACAATAAATCCTGTTTTCCCCAACTACTTGAGTACTGACCATATTTATATAAACACATATATACACACACACATTATATATATATTCATACATACATATATAATACACAAAGGGGTGGGATGGCTTAGTGGGTGAAAGTGTTTGCTAAGCAAGCCTGGTGACCTAATGAACTCAGAACTCACAAAGGAAAGAGAACTGGCATTCCAGAATTGTCCTGTAATCTCCATATGCCTGTGGCACATGCACCCCACCCCACATCATGTGCACCCAGTAATAATAAATTTTAAAAAATTTAAAAATATGAGGAAACAGGCTAGCCGTGGTGGCGCATGCATTTAATCCCAGCACTTGGGAGGCAGAGACAGGCAGATCTCAGTGGGTTCAAGACCAGCCTGGTCTACATAGTTCCAGGACAGCCGGAGCTACAGGGAGACCGTGTCTCAAAAAGACCAAAAAAAATAATAATAATAAGGCTAGCTTGGGACTGGAAAGATGGCTAAAAGGTTAAGAGCACTGGCTGCTCTTGCACAGGACCTGGGTTTGATTCCCAGCACTCATATGACAGCTAACAACCATCAGTTAACTCCAGTTCCAGGGGATCCCATACCCTCTATGGCCTCGGCTGGCACTGCATGACACAAAAGCACTTACATACATAGAGACAAAACACTCTTACCCATAAGATAAAAACAAAACAATAAACTTAAAACTAATTTAGTTATACAGTTCAAAACATTTGAACTCGTTTGTAGTGTCAATTTACTGAATGCTGCTACAATTGTTAATAGTTAGAACCTACTGTAACACTACAAATTATTGAAAACACACAATATATTGAAAACACAAAGTATATAGCCTGAATAGAAGACATCTCTACCGTTTTCTTCCCTTTATTTAGGCTTACAGTTGATTCTCTACAAATAACCACAATTCTATCCTAAATCTTTCCAACTACGTCAGCCTTTGGCATGGTTGTTAAGAGTATTGCTCCACACAAATGGGCAATAGTCTTGGGATCCATTTTCTCCCATAAATTACTTTCCATTTTCAACCAAAAATACCTTAATCCATACGTACCCCAATCAGTGCTAACACTTCCTGTAGCTGCAATTTTGTTTCTAGGTCAAATAAAACAAGTATTAGAGACTTCTCACATACACTTGAAGTTTCTCAGCTCTCAGTCTGGAACCATCCTTCAGAGTAATGAAATGTATGGATGATTGCTTTTTTCCCCTCAAAACACAAAAGGCTGATTAATTCTGGATTGTACTAGTACTTACAAAGGAATCATCAAAACACAGTACATTATAACCCATTTATCTCACCTTTGATTTTTTTTGGGGGGGGGGTAATCTTTTTGACACAGCTGTCCTGCAACTTGCTCTGCCTCTATGCTGGGACTAGAGGTGTGAGCTATCACACAGGCTTATCTTGGCTTTCAAAATGGACCCTTTAAGCAATTACTCCCAGTTACTTCACCTGTAATTTTTTTGGGGGGGGTCTTTTTGAGGCAGGGACTCCCTGTAGCCCCAGCTGGCCTGGATTCGCTATGGAGACCAGACTGGCCTCGAACTCCCAGAGATCGCCTGTCTCTGCCTCCCGAATGCTGGGATTAAAGGCGTGCGCCACCACGCCCGGCACCTGTAATTCTTTTAAAGAACAAATTATATACCCAGGGTGTGTGTGTCTGTCTGTCTTCTAACTCAAAATACAGAGGATTCTAATGATTCTTTTGTTTTAAATTTATTTTTATGTGTATGAGTTTTGCCTGCATGTATTGCAGCCGTGCAATGCCCGCATGGCCAGAGGAGTCTCCCTGGAACTGGAGTTGCGGGAGGTCCTCATGTATCGCTAGGAACAGAACCCGGGTCCTCTGAAAGAGCAGCCAGTGCTTTTAAGGCTTTAACCATCTCTCCAACCCCTCTGATAGTTAATTCTAACAAATACCTTTCTAAAGAAGTGGACAGTGGCTGGGTTCCTAGTTCTTTTAAATTCAAAACCGCTTAGATGTGCCCAGAAAAATATGCAGGGTTGTTTTTTTTTGGGGGGGGGGCTACATGAAAATGTGGCCCTTTTAGATAAATACATGCTTAGAACAAAAGTAAGACATAATTATAGAAAGCCCCAGTAAGTTTTAAAAGAGTATCTCTGTCATTGGCGATTGTTCTTTCTTTTAAAACTGAACTTGGTGCTAACGGTGGAACGAGGACTAGGGAAGGAAATGATGTATGTCCTATACAACTCTTCCAGGCTCATTGACTTCACTATTACGGGGACACGGATAAAGACTTGTGCATTTCCACACTGGTATTTTTTTTTCGGGACTGGACTAAATAAACTTGAAGTTCAAAGGAGATAACTTTCCTGTTTTCTCTGCTTAACCTCGCCTCTTTCAGCTCCAGAATCAAATAACCTCCCCCCACCCCAGGATCATATATATGGGATTCCTTCCCTGTCTCTTAAAACTATCCTCCTGAAAGAGAGGGGCAAATCGCCTCCTTGTAGATGCCCCAAATTATGTGCTCAAACATTTACTGCGGTGTTCCTGCCTCCTCGGGTAGTCCAGCTCATCCAACCCCGGATATGGGTTCCGCTCTCGCGCCCAGGAGCGCAGTGGGAGCCACGCGCACTGCTGCCCGCCCTCTGCGCACCATCAGAAGCTCTCGCGCCCTTCTTCTGCCTCCCCTCGCCGAGGACACTTAGTCCCAGGATTGGCTGGCGCCCACTTACCTACGCTAAGTTGTGGGTTGAGGAAGGGACGGAGGACGAAAAAAAGGACCAGCTTGAAGCAGCAGAATCGCAGACACCGGTGCCACGGCTAGACACACCGGCGCCTCTCATGGTGCCCGGAGGATGTGCACGCATCCTCCTCAAGGCGCCCATAGGAACGCCCCCCCCCGCCCCCCCTCCCCCGGCTGTCTTAGCGTCAGATGATTACCTTCCGGGTCGAGGTGCTTCTGGGTGAACGCAGAGTCGTAAGCTTCCTAAAATTCCTCTCGCTGCACGTACGGAATTCCTCTTTCGAGACTCACATTCTTTTTGTGTTCTAGCGCGTCAGTGCCGGCTAGCTAAGAGTGCATCCGTTTTTACCTCCGCTTCCTCCTATGGCTCCGGCTTTTACGACCGGAAGAGTCCTTGAATCAAAATAGTTCGGTGGACCCTTCCGGAAGTGCAGCGCAGGGTTCCGGGAGCGTGCTGACCGCCGAGGGAGAGGCTGCGGGTGGACGCCCTGGCAGCTGGAGGATGAAGAAGGAGCATGTGCAGCACTGTCAGTTCTCCGTGTGGTATCCCGTCTTCCGAAGCCTTACTATCAAAAGGTAAGGTGCGGGGGCTCGCCCGGCGAGGGGCAAAAGCGAACTGCGGGCTTTGGGGAAATCCCAACCCCAGGCCTTATTTATAAAGACCACCTGGGAGCGTTGTCGGCTTGTGGTGAATTCCAGATGAGTGAAGATCAGAGTTTTCCCTGCGTCTTGTTACAAATCAGAGCGAGTCAGGGGAGGTAGAAGAGTGTAATAGCGAGAGAGGCACGGAGGATCGCCATACAGTGATGGTTGAATTAGGGACCTTTACTGATAGCCGGCAGTCAAAGGGAGCTAACGCCCAAAAGAACTCACGACCCTGAGGAGAAGCAGGGTTTATAAGTATTAAACCACAATTACATCATGCCAGGGGCAAAGCCAATGACCATAGTTTAATCAGATCACCATAGTTACGCCAGACCAGGGGCAGGTCAGTTAACAAAGAAGTTTTTAGCTAACAAAAGTTTCTGTTAGTTAAAAACAAGTTTCTCAGAATTGAAGAAATAATGGGCTCCATGGAAATGCACGTATAGTTGGCTGGAAGGATGTGCTGCTACCTTGCTACTTGTAAGTTTTCTGGTATTGTAGAACCAATGTACTCCCTGAAACTGCCCGTGTAAGACTTTCTACCTGGATGGCTGCAGTAGGAATGGCTGGGCAAAAACACAGGGTAAAGCGAAAATCAGGTAGAACAAAATGGTGTTAGGTTCATTCTCCCCCTGGTCTTATGGCAGAGTCACAGCATTGACTCAATATCCTCAGGTAAAGGGGGCTTATACTGGCTCTCAGGTACAGTAATTTGGCAGAGGCTATCTGTTGTTTGCTAAAGTTTAACAACCAGTTAATTAGGCAAGGCCCAATCATTGGACCCAGGAGGAGAAGGATGAGCGGTCTTGTTAGGCCTGGAAACCAGGTAGTCAGCCATGGGTTCCAATCAAACCATTGATGGAACCAGGAACTGTTGGCCTCTCTCTTCTTTAGGGATGCATGGCAGGGTGTAGAGTAGGGAACTGGGGGATGCCTCAGAACAATAGGATAGATCTGTTAGACTGGAGATACTTTTGAGACTGATCAGTACATTTTTTCAGAATAGGGTCCCTTGGTCTAGGCAGTAGGGGAGATGGCCTTTTGAACATAATCTTATATGGAGTGAAACCCACCTTATAGGGAATATATCTAGCCCAGAGGAGGACCAGGAACAGGAGGCTGGGCCAGTTTTCACTGGTTTCTGAGATTAAGTTAGCATTATGTGAACCATTTGATGGAGGCAACCCAAACCTAGGAATTATCGCATGTAGGAGGCTTTTTATAATCATGAGGGAAAGGTCACCATGCAATAGGAGAATGTGTCCATAAATACCAGAAAGTAGTTCAGTTGGTTTGGTGGTATCCAGGTGGGTCATCGGATGGAGCTGGTTCACAAGAAGGCATCCAAGGACTATAGGAAAAATGATTCTGAAATCTGGCAGGGTGCATCATCCCATGGAGCCCCTTTTTCTTTCTATTCTTTTTCTTTTTCTTGGGAGTGGGAGTGGCTCAGCAGGGAGTCTGGCGGCCTGCTGGGCTACTTAGCCTTCTGCCATGGAAGGGTCAGAACCCTCTTTCCCTGTAGATCATGGCATGGATATGGAAGGGTGGCAGAGGCACATCTACTGTCTGTAAAGATGTTCACCCATTTATCCTTTCCCCAGCATAGAGCCTGGGTGAGGGCCATCAGTTTAGCTTTTTGTGCAGAGCTCCCCTGGGTCAAGGCTTGGGTCCAGATGACATCCTGTTGGGTGGTCATAGTGTCTCCAGTCTTCTGGGTCCCCTCTGTCACAAACTGCTTTCATTCATGAACAAGTGGACATCTGCCTCAGGTAAGGGACTGTCTTGGAGGACTGGACGACTGGCCTGGGAGATATCCAGCAGATCCTCATAGTTGTGTACTGGTACCTCCAGATTATCATGCATCAGTGTTGCTAGTTTGAGGCTGAATAGCTGAGAAGGTGAGATGGAGTTGATCAAGGAGCAGACTCTTGTACTGAGTAGTGTGGCATTTGATATTTGACCTCTTTCACCAGTAGGGCAGTAGATGCTTATGGCATGTAGACAGGAGGGCCATCCTGAAGCTACTGGCTCTAGGCAACTTGGATAAGTACAGGCCTTTTGCCAGGAACCCAAAGTCTGAGTAAGCACGCCTTTTGCAGTGTCCTGGGCTTCATGAATGAAAAGGTGGCATTGTCACTTATTTGGTCACCAACCATCCCTCTTTGGTCATTCTTTCCTATTTTGGAATCTTGAGGGCTTGGAAGAACACTTGTAGGCTATTCAAAACAATTCTTTTCCATCTTGTTATTCAAACAAAGAATCTGTTTCTAAGTATCCATGGTATAATGGAATATATAATAACACAAAAGAAGATACTCCTTGAAGATGTCAAAGTCACACCAAAACAAAAGGAAGAGCTAATTGCAGCAGCAGTAATTAGTTCCTATTGATCACAAATTATCTTTTCTAGCTGATATTTCAGTCCTTATTAACTTAAATGATAAAAAGACTGTAGGACTGAAATGATACTGGGTTATTTCTTTTGTGTTGATGTGATAGATGGTATGTTTGTGAACTTGTACTGAAGATTCTTTTTTTAATATTTTATTTATTTTTTGTTTATTTACTTTTGTTTATGAGTGTATTGCCTGCATGTCTGTAAATGCACCTGCCCATGGAGGATCAGAAGAGAGCATCAGATTCCCCTGTAACTGGAACTATGGATGGTTGTTAGCTACCATGTGGGTGCTGGGAATTAAACCTGGGTCTTCTGCAAGAGCAGTCAATGCTCTTAACCACTGAGCCATCTCTCCAGCCCCTGAAGATTCTTTTTCATTTGTCTTTTTGAGACCGATTCAGGTTGTCCTTGAACTGATATCTTTCTTACCTTAGCCTTGGGCATGTACCACCATTCCCAGCCCTGTATTTAAACTCTTACATCTCTCCTTTGGTTTCTACGTTATCTTTTGTAGCCTCTGGCATAGTTTTTGTCTTAAGTGGTATAAGCAGTATAACAATGATTAAGACTTGGACTCTGAGCCAAGACATCTGCCTGGCTTTGAATTCTGGTTCCAACAGCATCTTCAGCAAATTGTTTAATCTCCCTAAACCTCATTTGGGAAATTCAGAAAACAATAGCATTGTCTTGGGCATTATTACATAAGATAAAATACTTAAAATGTTTGTCACTCTTTTTGGCATTCTTTTTTTAAAAATATTTTATTTTTATTTTATGTGTATGTGTGTATTGCCTACATGTAGGTAAGCACACCCTCCACTACCTGTGGAGGACAGAGAGGCTGTTGGATCCCCTGGAACTGGAGTTTCGGACAGTTGTTAGCTGCCATGTGGGTGCTGGGATTCGAACCTGGGTCTTCTGCAAAAACAACCAGTGTTCCTAACCACTGAGCCATCTTTCCAGTCCCTCTTTTTGGCATTCTTGTTACATTTTGGATTTAATAAAAGCCTCATTGAAGCAAAATAATTTTAATATGCTTAAAATGTGTGCCATTTACATGAAGCTGAGAATGGAAAAGAAAAAAACCAAGAGCTGGAATTTTTCTGGCTTTATAAGCCTGTCCACAACTAAGCTGTGTTGCCTAAAACTTTTTACCATCTATTTTTATTAATTGATTTGTTTATTGTGTGTGTATGCATGTGTGTGCACCAGTATGTGCCATGTTACACATATCACGTAACTTGCAGGAGTCCTTTCTCACCTTCCACTATGTGGGTCCTGGGGATCGAATTTAGGTTCTCTGGTGTGGTGTCAGGTGCCTTTACCAACTGAGCCATCTAACCAGTCTAACCTAAAAGTGTTTATTCTGTCTTTAATCCATTTCTTCAGCCTATTTAGTTCTGTGGTAATATCACTAGAACCTAACAGAGGTCAGGGCAGCCCCTACAACCCAAGCAAGTCAGGTGGAGTCAAACGAACATTGCCATCTTTAATGCTGAAAGTGCACATTATTGGCTTAGTGTTGTTATTTGGGGTTTATTACTTTTGATTCAGAGATGATTATGCAAGTTCATTCTTAAAAATCATTTTTATAGCTGGGCATGGTGGTGCCTGCCTTGAATCTCAGCACTTGGGAGGCAGAGGCAGGTTGGTCTTTGTGGGTTAAAGGTCAGCCTGGTCTATAGGTAGGGAGGTCCAGGCCAGCTAGGGCCACATAGTAAGACCTTGTCTCATTCTTTTTTTATTCTTTGAGAATTTCGTCTATGTATAGAATATATTTTGATCATATCTGTTCACTCCAGACTAGCCCTACAATATCTCCCTCTCAACTTTCTGTCCTGTTCTTTTGTATTTTAATAACCACTTGGTCCATTTAGTGCTGCCTCTATGTGCATGGGTGTAGGGCTATCACTGGAGCACGGACAGTCTACCAGTATCCACATCACCTGAGAAAATTGACTTTTCCTTCTGCAGCAGCCACCAGCTGCCACTTGTTCCCCAGTTAGGAGTGGTCTTGTGAGCCCCTCCCCCATCCAGGCTGAAATTTTGTCTGGCTTGATCTTGTACCAGTCTTGTACAGCTGTGAGTTCATGAGTACAGTGCCATTTCATGTTTAGAAAGCAGCATTTCGTAGCCCTCCACTTCATCCTCCCATTCTTACATTTTTTACTCCCTCTCCCTCCGTGTTCCCTGAGCCTTGGGATAGGCATAGATATTCCCTCTAGAGTTGAGCACTCAACAGTCACTCATTCTTAGCACTTTGACTAGTTCTGACTCTGAATTAACCACTGCCCACTGTAAAAAGAAGCTTCTTGGACCAAGGACAAGAGTAGCAGTCATCTATGGGTATAAACATAAATATTTAGAACCACTTAGTAAAACAATAGTAGGTTCTTCCCTAGGGCCTATGACCTCCAAGCTATGGGCTTCCTCCTGTGGAGGTCTCAAATACAGTTAGAAAGTAGATGATTATCTCCGTAACCGTGATGCCACCATTGCAGCAGTGTGTACGTCTTGCCTTGTAGTCCAG